TGTGATTATGTTGTCTATGTAACAAAAAAATAAAATAAAATAAAAAAAATAAAAATAAAAAAAAGAAATTTCCTGACAGTGAGAACAATCAACCCATGGAACAGAAGTTGCCTTCAGAAGTTGTGGGAGCTTCATCACTGGAAGCTTTCAGGCAGAGATTGGACTGCCATCTATCAGAAATAGTGTAGGATGTCATGCTTGGTGGGGGGGTTGGACTAGATGACCTACAAGGTCCCTTCCAACTCTGTTATTCTATATTCGATGGAATATCTTGCCTTCAGAAGTTGTGGGAGCTCCATCACTGGAAGCTTTCAAGAAGAGACTGGACTACCATCTGTTGGACTAGATGACCTTCAAGGTCGCTTCCAAGTCTGTTAATCTGTGAAAGTTATCTTACTTCCAGCTCTTCTTCTATTTTTCTCTCTTACAGGCTTTTGCTCCAGGCCGGCATAGACATTAACCGTCAGACGAAGGCAGGAACCGCCTTGCACGAAGCGGCCCTGTGTGGCAAGACGGACGTGGTGCGCCTCCTCCTGGATGTAAGCCCCCCACCACACCCCCATTTCCCAGGGAGGGTCCCATAGATTCTTCCAGAGGGGCCTACAGACCCGCTGGCGACTGTGGCTGTTGGCGACTGGCATCCAGGGGCAACTTCAGCTGCTCTTCACTCAGAGCCCTCTCTCGCCTCCCCCCCTTCTCTTCTACAGAGCGGGATCAATGCCCACATCCGGAATACCTACAGCCAGACTGCCCTGGACATTGTCCACCAGTTCACGGCCACGCAAGCCAGCAAGGAGATCAAGCAGATGCTGCGAGGTGAGGACAGGTGGGAGTCTCCAGCTGTGAGCTGAGAGGCACCTGGTGGTGCCCTTTCCTTCATAACCGGGAGGACCGTGCAAGGGCAGCTGACAACGTTGTTGTGTCCCTCATTCTTGCTACTTCTTGCTGTCTTGCACTTCTGCTCAAGACAGTAAGGTTTGTTTCCCCCCGCTTTCCAGTTTTCCTCCCAAGCACCTTTGCCTGGCGAAAAGGAACTGGCTCAGAGCCAGCTCCCTGGGGCTCCCGTGTCCAGCAGCCTACCTGAGACACCTGCCTTCCATGCATCGCGGTGCCTCTCCCGACACCTGGGAAATGAGGCCATCCCACATCCATAAATCTAATGGTGGGACGAAGCCCATGGCTCTGCCTCCATCTGCTGGCTCAGCTTAGGGAAGACACGCGAGAGTGACGGTGATGCTGGTGGAAGAGCAGAGGCAGAGCGCCAGGCCTGAGCCCACCCCGGGGCAGCCTTGATCAGAGGGACAGAGGATGAAGAGGACAAAACCTCTGGAACAGCTGGAGGAGTAGGCGGGTTTTTACTTGTCTCCTGGGATTGTAGAAGCTCCATCACTGGAGGTTTTCAAGAATAGCCTGGATAACTGGGATGATATAAGGCTCCTGCCTTGGGCAGGGGGTTGGACTAGATGACCTTCAAGATACCTTTCAGCCCTAGGATAACAAGCCATGGGTTTTTTTTGTCACAATCTGGGGTTTTTGGAATATGTGGATGGTGAGGACGTTGGGGAGTGTCCTTTGAATTTTTTATTTATTTATTTGTTTGTTTATTTATTTATTTATTTTATTTATTTATTAAATTGACTGTCTTTCTTATCATAGGGTAACAAGAGAGATGATTAGATGGATGGATGGGTAGATGGATAGAAAGAGAGCGAGAGGAAGGGATAAAGAGAGAGACATGATTAGATAGATGATTAGATGGATGGATAGAAAGAGAAAGAGAGGAAGGGATAGATAGATAGATAGATAGATAGATAGATAGATAGATAGATAGATAGATAGATAGATAGATAGAGTTGAAGAGGTAAGAGAGAAGTAAAATAATCTAACCTAGAATAAGAATTCAGCCCTCTGAGGGGTTCAACTATGCCTCTCCTGGGAGCAGTTCTGGGAGATCCGTAGTAGTTTGCTGGGAGGGCTGCTGGCCCTCAAGAAAGGGGCAACAAAAATTTGGGGCTCAATTGTAGCCATAAACCGAGGACATATCTGTATATGGCTACCCTCACCTGAGCCCGGAGCCTGTCGAAGTCCTGAGCTGGTGTCTCGAGACTGGAAACAAGCTCAGATTGAATCCTGCTGAGATTGAGCTGTTGGTTATCGGGTGACCTTGTGACCTCTGCCCAGGAGTCACTGTGGACATGATGCCCCACCCCCAAGAGGACCCTCTTGAATACAGGGTGCTTCCTTCAGAAAAAGGCCAAAGTCACCACTAAAAAACACTTTGCCCAGTTTTGACCGGTGCATCTCTTACAATCCTACTTAGTTCAATTCCCTCTGGTGATGGCCACTCATGTCTTTTTTTAGCAGATTAACAGAGGGGGAAGGGACCTTATAGGTCATCTAGTCCAACCCCTGCTCAAACAGGAGACCCTACACCATTTCTGACAAATGGCACTCGAATCTCTTCTTGAAAGTCTCAAGTCTTGATTAGCACTCAGGTTTAAAATTAATTTGGGAATCAGATTTGGGAGAAATAAATGATAATGATTGGAAAAATATTTGGAATAGAAGAGTATATAAGAATANCGAAGCCCTGCCCCTTTACCAAAATGGCTGTGCATACCCTTATGGAGGCTTTCAAAGAGCTCCTGGGGGCTGGGGAGGGCAGAAATGAGCAAAAAACAGGCCACCCCCCCCCCAGCAGCACTCTATAAGCCTCCATATTCCATAAGGCTATGAATGCAATTTTTTGAGAAAAAACAGCCCAATTTTTGCGAAAAACAGGCTGTTTTTTGCTCATTTTTGCCTCCTCCCCAGGAGCACGCTGCAGCCCCCCCCTCAAGGCTATTCATGCCTTTTTGGGGGGGAAATACAGGCCCATTTTTCACAAAAAAAAATTGGGGAGGTTTGCAGAGTGCAAAAGAGTGCAAAAACATTTTTTCTTCTTTTTGGAAAGCTCTTTAATTGATTGATGAGAATTACATTGATCAAGTACTGTGCCAGCAGAAACACCTACCTATCTACTGTATTTCTCTCTATCTCTGTTTCTCTCTCTCTATCCCTCTTCCTACATATCTACACACACTCTCTCTCTCCCTACCTATCTACTGTATTTCTCTCTCTCTTTCTATTTCTCTCTCTCTATCCCTCTACCTACTTGCCTACCTACCGACACACACACTCTCTCTATTTCTCTCTCTCTCTCTATCCCTTTATCTACCTACCTACCTACTCTCTCTCTCTCCCTCCCTACCTACCTATTGTATTTCTCTCTTTCTCTCCCTCTCTATCCCTCTATCTACCCACCTACTTTTTTCTTTTTAATTTGCCTCTTCAAAACCTTGGTGCGTCGTATACTCTGGTGTATCTTATAAGCTGAAAAATACAGTAGTTGGAAGGCCTGGAAGCAGCAATGAACCATCTGTTTTCTTTTTCGCTCTCTTCTGCATGTTTTTGTGGAATGGAAAAGGCAAATGCCTTCCACGACAAAACTGGACCCCATGTAAGCAGTCGCTAGGCTGGAACTATCTTCCTTCAGGGTTTCTTGACCCATCAATCTTATATGTCCCTCCCCTGAAAAAGAGAGATTTCAGAGTGGCCCATACAGTTCTGCCTTTCTAACTACTCCCAAATCTGTATTTAAGTAATTGTGAGCTAAGAAGGTCACTCAGAGTTTCTCCATCGTGGCAAGTTGAAGATGTGTGGACTTCAATTCCTGTAGAAGTTATGCTGGCTGGAGAATTCTGGGAGTTGAAGTCCTGAAGCTGCCAAGATTGAGAAGAACACTGAACCATGTGTGTAGGTGTCTACCTGCCAATGATCGGGCGGGGGCATGACCTTTCAGCAGCATAAGCGCCGCACTGAATCATTGTCTAATGCCTATGAAAATCACGTGCAGCTTTTGAACCTGCAGCCTGCATCAATCTGGAACTAAGGAAGTCACAGTGAAGCCGGAAACCGCCTCTCCATTGAGAGACCACACAGGAGAGGCTGGTTTCAGGGTTCCAAGTAATACACCCACAGCAAGCAAAACTCTGAGGCAGGTAGATTCCTCGAAGAACAGCTTTATTGGATATATCATATTGGCACAGATCGGGTGGAAACTGACTCTGAAAGTTCCCGCAGTTTTCACCTAATTAAAAGTGAACGTTTTCCCCCTTCCTCAGTCCCATGGTCCAATCAAGGTGCTGTCCAGTTGCTTGGTAACGTCACTCCTCCTCTCTCTCTTTCTGACCAGGTGTGAGAATGTCCTTGATTCCCAGGGGAAAGTATTTTGTTTCGGCTACAAAACCCCAGCTACCTCTAAACCCCCCTCCCTATCCCTCGGCTCCAGTATGGCAACACTGCAGCTCCAAGATGGCTTTGGCCAGGCCGGCTTCAGGGTTGACAGTGGGAAGGGCACAACTCACACTCCCTCCTCCTAAATTCCTTCCCCCCAGGCTGTAAAAAAATCCACTTGTAGGACTGACCCTGGCAGAAGAGAAGGCCTGCTGAACAGAGGTCTAGCTTGCCCTGTGGGGCAAATCTCCCCTTGGCAATGATGGTTAAGGACAGGGGTCTGGAAATCCTGATTTAGGAGATTCCTCTGGTTTCCGCCAGAGCCAACAGTTGACCCACTGACCTGGTTGCTGAGACGCTCTGCAGGGCATCTGCTTGGGGGGTGGTGATGGCGGAGATAAACGCCCAGCGTCAGAGCCTCATCCTGCCCTGCAACACCACTGCTGCTACCCACCGCAGGCAAGGAGAAGGAAACAGCCAATAGAAGCTGGGCAGACTCTGCACTTGCTCACATCACCAGCTCAGTCCCTGTTGGAGCCAACAGACTCCTGCCTACAGTCCTGCTTGGTCAGGAGAAGGTGGGACTGGCCGTGCCAGAGAAAGGGGGTGTTAGCTCCCCTTGGCTGCTGGGGAGGGATGGAAGGAGGGCTGGGTCACCTGGAGGGTTGGCCAGGCACCTGCCAGCAAGGTTAGGGAGATGCCAACACCCCCCCCCCCCTTTGCGGACAAGCAGGAGAGGAGCCAACTGAAGCAACCTTTGCATTCTCTTGCTTCTAGTTCCAGCCTGATAAATTAGACAATCGAAGAGCTGTTGGGGATTCAGCTCTGTGTGCCACCTCTAGCATGTGTGCTACAGGTTTGCCATCATGGGCATAGGGTCTCCTGCTTGAGCAGGGGGTTGGACTAGAAGACCTCCAAGGTCCCTTCCAGATTCTGTTCTATCCCATTCCATCCCATTCCATTCTTATTTCTATTCTGTTCTATTTTCTATTCTATTCTATTCTATTCCACGTCATTCCACTCCATTCCATTCTTACTTCTGTTCTGTTCTATTCTATTTTCTGAAACAGCAGATGGAAACTAATCAAGGAGAGAAGTAACCTAGAATTAAGGAGAAATTTTCTGGCATTGGGAACAATGCATCATTGGACAGCTTGCCTTCAGAAGTTGTGGGAGCTTCAACCTTGGAGGCTTTCAAGAAGAGACTGGACTGCCATTTTATCTGAAAGGGTGTAAGGTCTCTTGCTTGTACAGGGGTTTGGACTAGAAGACCTTCAAGGTCCCTTCCGACTCTGCTATTTTGTTAAGAAGGGCTCCAGGTTGGCTGTGAAGGAGACCCCTCCTCTATTTGTCAGGCAGGAGACTGGCGGCTGCTAAGAGGAAGGGAGCAGGGAAGACATGGAGCTTCTCCTACTAGAAAGAGAGACGAATCGGGGGAGGGGCGGCAAGGGGAAGCTGTTGGGAGGGGGAGTAGAGTTATAAGGAGAAGCAGGAGCTTCAGGGGGAGCTTGTGGGGGAGACTTTACATGTGTCACATCTGAGATGTATTTGGAAAAGGGAGGAGCTTTGGTCACGTGACCATGGGCTGCCATCTTGATTTTTTGGACTAACCTATTGCATGGACATCCCTTCACTTTTGAGTAGGTTGCTGGACCTCCTGGAGAGTCCTTGCAGGGCGAGCTGGGCCAGTCACCCGTCTCCCCGCAGTGTTGCTACCCAGGGTGCCCTGAAGTCGTCATGGCAAATCAGCGGGGTTGTTGTGCTCGCTGTGTAGAGACGGGAATATTATTTTTTAAATTTTATTTCTGCATGTTTTCATTTCAGATCCCCCTTCTGTGCCAAGCGGCACATTATGCAGCCGAGGATTAAAAACTAATAAAGCAGTTGTATAAGGCTGACAGGAGAGAGCCGTCCAGAAATAAAAAAAACCCAGGCTTTAAAATAAAAAGAGTTATCAGGTGTTTTAATAAGACAGAGGAAAGCGCTCCAAAAGGAAAAAGGACGAAGAAAAGTCTCCAGGTGGAATGAGATTAACAGGGCTGAGAAAGACCTTTCCAAAGTAGATTCTTCTGCAGAAATTCTGGCCAGAGGAGCCACCCTGGAGGTACTTAGTCCAGCTTTGCAGTTCAGAACTTGGATCAGAATCAGAATAGAGCTGAAAGGAACCTTGGAGGTCTTCTAGTCCAACCCCTGGCTGAAGCAGGAGACTCCATGCCATTCCAGACAAGGGGTTGACCAGTCTCTTCTTGAAAGGCTCCAATGATGCAGCTTCCACAACTTCTGAAGAGAAGCCATTCCGCCGATTGATTGTCCTCACTGTTAGGAAGGTTCCCCTCAATTCCAGGTTGCTTCTCTCCTTGATTAGTTTCCATCCATTATTCCTTGTCCTGCTTTCTGGTGCTTTGGAAAATAGGTTGAGTGCCTCTTCTTTGTGGCAGCCCCTCAAAGACTGGAATACTTATATTGTGTTGCCCCAGTTCTTCTTTTTTTCTAGACTAGCCAAACCCAATTCCGTTCTCCATAGGTTTTAGTCTCCAGCCCTCTAATCATCCTAGTTGCTCTTCTCTATGCTTTTTCCAAAGTCTCAACATCTTCTGTTATCGTGGTGACCAAAACTGGATGCAGCATTCCAGGTGTGGTCTTGCTAAGACGAGATCAGCTTGAGGGCGCAGGGAATCCAGGGAAGGGAAGGGGAGGATGGTCTTGGTGACTTTTGCTCCTGTCGTGACAGGTTCTCCGCCTTGCACCACGCTGCCCTCAACGGCAACACAGAGCTCATCCTGCTGCTTCTGGAGGCCCAGGCTGCAGTGGATATCAAGGACAACAAAGGTAAGCATGGAGGCTCNTCCTTCCCTCCCTTCCTTCCCTTCCTTCCGTCCTCCTTCCTTCCCTCACTCCCTTCTTTCCTTCCTTCCTTCCTTCCTTCCCTCTCTCCCTCCCTCCCTTCCCTCTTTCCTTCTTTCCTTCCCAGATGCTTCGGCCGCCCTGCAGGTCAGGGCCATGAAAGATTATTGCAACAACTATGACCTGACCAGCCTCAATGTGAAAACCGGGGACATAATCACGGTGAGTGGCTGTGGTCGCAGAGTCCGAACCCTCCTGGGCCAAGATGACCTTGGACACTGCCTTGCCATCTTCAGATGCCCAACTCTCCCTTGAAGGCTTCGGGGGGGGGGGGGGGGAACCCTGCCTATCTAGTCTTTCCCTACCCAGCGCCAAGGGGGCCCTTCCCCCCACTGGTGGCCCTTTGCCATGCCCAGGGATACACGACTGCTTTGGGGGATGGTTTTCCCCCAAACTGACATTTACTTCGTTTTTTGGGCAAGATTGTGGCGTTCCATGACCAGTTACAACTGTGTTGGGCAGGCTCTGTTATGGTCACAACTCGAGGACTACCCGTAATAAGTATTAACCGTATGCCCTACAGCACACACAGAGTAAAGAATGGCAATTGGGGGTGGCTCTGGGTTCAGGAGAAGAGAAGCCGCGTTTTTGCTGGCAGAGTGAGACATTCGTGGAGGCAGAAAAACCAAGATGGCGGCGGCCACTGTCTGATTGAAGCTCGCGGTCCCCATCTTGGCTTTCTGACAGGGGACCCTGTCCTGCCCATTCTTTGCTCCCTTGACTCTAAATGGACGCTGACTGGTTTTTGCCTCCCCCACCCCACCCTGCCCACAGGTCCTGGAGCAGCATGCCGACGGCCGGTGGAAAGGCTGCATCCACGACAACCGGACAGGCAACGACCGCGTGGGATACTTCCCCTCTACCCTGGTCGAAGCCATCAGTAAACGCACAGGCAAATATCACTCCCGGGGGGCTTCCCAGCCTTCTTTGGGGGGCGGGGTGGAGGGGCAGTTTGTTTGTGTGTTTTTTCACTCGTTCTCTTTCTGGCTGCCTGCGTTTGCTCTGCTTCGACTGGGGGCTTCCAGATAAGGATTTTAGACCTCCTGGAAGTTTAGGTTTGGTGGGAGCATCCGGTCTTCCCTTGAACCTCTCAGCATCTACATCTTTCCCCACTTCCATATCCTGTCTCTTTGGTTTTCACCACAAACAATGAGAGAGAATTGGGAGCAGAATTGCTGCACCCCCCAGACAGCGGCTTGGCTAACATCTGGAAGCATTCAGCGGGTGCTCAGATACTGTATGCTTCTGCATGCAAGATCACGTGAAGAGTTAATACCATTCTATAATGCCTTGGTAAGGCCACAGTTGGAATACTGCATCCAGTTTTGGTCGCCATGATGTGGAAAAGATGTGGAGACTCTAGAAAGAGTGCAGAGAAGAGCAACAAAGAGGATTCGGGGACTGGACACTAAAACATATGAAGAACGGTTGCAGGAACTGGGCATGGCTAGTTTAATGAAAAGAANGAGAGAGAGAGAGAGAGAGAGAGAGAGAGAGAGAGAGAGAGAGAGATGGATGGTGGCGAGGCAAAGGTTGGGTCCTGCGTCCAGATGACCAACCAAGTTTGTAGTTCTCTCCCAGAAAGCAGGAGATGACCTTCAGCCAGGACATCCAGACATGGCCAGTTGAAAGTCATCATCAGGTGGGTGAGGGGAAGAGGAGGAGAGAAAGAAGGAGCAGAAAGAGGAGAGAGGAGAAGGAGAGACGAAGGGAAAGTAGAGAAGAGAAGGATAACGGGGGAAAGAAAGGAGGTAGGGGGGAGGAGAGAGGGAGAAGAGGTAAGAAAGTGATTGGTAGGGTATAAATATGGTGTATGGAAAGCAGAAGACCCAATGATAGTTTTTAGGAGTTGATGGCAAGATGAATTGATGTAAACATTTAATAATACAAAATAGTGTTGGTTATGTAATGGTATACATGTGGTTATTTGCATGAAAATAAAAAAAATGAAAACTTTAAAAAAGAAAGTCATCATCTTTTTTTAAATTACAAGAGCATTTAAAAGAACTTCACAGGTAGATGCCCCACTGTTGATTGGAGCCAAAACCAAATACACAAAATATCAGGCGTAATCACCTGATTCCATAACTGGCAACGGCTGGTCAAAACCGCCCTTTATCCCTTCTCAGATAGATTCGTAATCTGGGCCCATCTCTTGGCTTGGTGGGACGGCGGTTCCATCAAATGGCAGAAGGACCTGCTGCCTCTCTCCGTTGCTGAATGTCTACCCTCTTCTGCAGGGATGCGACCCTTACACTACGCTGCCTGGCAAGGGAAGAAGGAACCCATGAAGCTGGTGCTGAAGGCCGGCTCCTCGGTCAACATCCCGTCGGACGAGGGACAGATCCCTTTGCACTTGGCAGCCCAGCACGGACACTACGATGTGGTAAGAGGCAGCATGAAGCACAATCTCCCTCCGAGGAGCACCACGGAGTGCACGTGTGTGGACTTCTGGGAATTGAAGTTCACACATCCTCAAGGTGCCACCGTTGAGAAAAGCTGCAGTGACAGAATCTTGCAAGTTTGAAAGTGTGGTTCTCCCCACCCCATCGCCTTTGCAAGTTCAAGAAACCAAGGAGGCTCCTTTCTGAGCCCCTTGCTCTACCCCCTAGGCAGCTGCAGGCTGTGCAGTCTCTTATCTAATTGTTCCTTCAGCAGCGCCCAGTTTCCGATGGCCATTCACACATACCATTACAGTCTTCCTTCCCCAGAGGCACATTGTTCTGTCCGAGGCTTCCCAAGAGCCTGAAGTAAACTCCTTGCCCAACAAAAACCCCTTTTATTAATTTGCTGTGAATTCTGCTCATCCACATCCAGCAAAGGCTTTCAAGGGACAATTTACAGTCACAGATCTTATCTGGCTTGGAGAGCTGCCAGGCCGATATCTGCAGAACTTGGCAAGGAGTCTCCGAGAGTCGCGAACCAATTAAGCGAACTAATTGTCTCCTGCAAACTCCACTCCTTTTTGCTCCTCTTTTATTTCCTCTGGGAGGGGCCATTCACTGTCCACCTGTGGCCTTACTTCCCAAGTCGACCCCTGTTCTTTAGCTGTTTCCTTCATCTGGCCATTCTGCGCATGCGTACCTTGGGAACAGGCTCCAGCTGTTCATCTGCCCCACTGATGTCTGACTCTGAAGGCAGCTGATAACTGGCAGATGGCCCTGGCCCCCTCTCTGCCTCTGACACAGAGGCCTCGTCAGAGCCTTCCCCAGAATCCAGGACTGACCCAGGTTCCTCCCCAACCTCCTCACTGTCCGAATCTGCTGCCAGCTCTAAAAACACCCCAGCTGTTTGACATGTGTGCCCTGTGGGTAGTACATATTTAAAGGAGGTGGGGCTTTGATTGACAGGTTGCACCACCGTTTTGCCCCTTGGTGTGGCTGCTCTTTGGAGGAAGAGGTGATTGGGGGCGGAGGGGGGGGTGTCAAGTGGAGTGAATGGGTGCATTTGACAGGTTGGCTTTGTGCCAAAGGGGGATCTCTGGGCTTCCCACACACTCTCTCTCTCTCTCTCCATCCCCCAGTCAGAAATGCTCCTTCAGCACCAGTCCAATCCCTGCATACTGGACAACAGTGGGAAGACTCCTCTGGACCTGGCCTGCGAGTTTGGCCGTGTTGGGGTAAGCCCGATCCTTGGGGGTGGGGGGAGAGTTGTGAAAGAGGACAGGGCACAAACCCAGTTAAGGGGCCTCAATAGAACAGAATAGAACAGAACACAACAGAACAAAACAGAATAAGAATGGAATGGAATAGAAGAGAACTAAGAAAGGAGTAGAGTAGAATAGAATAGAAATATGGAGTAGAGTGGATAGAGTAGAGTAGAGTAGAGTAGAATTCTTTATTGGCCAAGTGTAATTGACACACAAGGAATTTGTCTTTGGTGCAAATGCTCTCAGTGTCCATAAAAAGACAAGAAATTCCCCTCTGCAAAAGATGCTGTTGGGTGGAAGCTGGTGGGGCCATCAGGACCTCACTCCCCTCCCCCCGCAAGAGTCCAGCACTCTTTGCCAGAACTCTCCTTACTTTCTTTGGCCATTTCCCTCATGATTTGGCAGTTTAGAGGTCATATGTCCCTTTAATCCCCCCCCCCCAGCCACTTGCTTAAGAACTGGGAGGATCTTTGCCACAAGACCAAGGTTTGTGGCAAAGGGAATTATGTCATTTGATGAGAATAAATTTGAGAATAAATGATGTGATTTCTGCAAAACCTGGGCTTTTTCTTAAGGGAGCTAAACGGCCAGATGAGGCTTCCTTATATTGGGTGGGAAGTGGGGGGATTTGGCTGCATTCTGGGGGGCGGGGAATGGGGAGAAGACCCGGATCTCACTTGGGAGGAAATCTTTTGGGCACCACCTCTGTTTCTTGTTCTGTCAGGTGGTGCAGCTGCTTCTGAACAGCAACATGTGTGCAGCCCTGCTGGAGCCCAAGCCGGGGGACATCACTGACCCAAACGGGACCAGCCCACTGCACCTGGCTGCCAAGAATGGGCACATTGATGTCATCAGGTGAGGGCACGGGGGAGGATGCAGGCCTGAAGAGGCTGGGCAAAGCGAGGGGGAGGATTGTTCGCCCCTTCTATTTTTAATTTCATTTTATTTCATCAAGCAGGTGTTAGATAACATACCATATTTTGGACTATAAGATGCACCATGATTTTAAAAAAAAGGTTTTGCACTCTGCAGGCCTCCCAAACCCTCATTTTTGCATGCCTCATTTTTTGCAACAAAAAAGTGGGGGGGCATGCAGAGGCTTTGGGAAGCTTGTAGAGTGCTCCTGGGGATGAGGTTGGGGGCAAAAACGGTCTGTTTTGTGCTTGTTTTTGCCCTCCCAACCCCCTTGAGCACTTTGCAAGCCACCCAAACCCTCTGCACATCCATTTTTGCAAAGGGGGCATGGTTTTGGGAGGCTAAAAATACTGTATTCAGTGTATAAGACGCACCCAGATTTTCACCCTCTTTTTTTGGGGAAAAAGGTGCATCTTATACTCTGAAAAATATGGTATATAAGCATAAACATGTTTTTGAATACATGAAATGGATACGAATAAAAAGGAAAATTAGGACAGAGACGGTAGGCACATTGGTGTGCTTATGCACGCAACACACAAGCTGAGTAGGCCTCCTTTCCTGTGAAGGTCACAGTGTGTGGGGGCTGCACCAACCAGAGGCAGTGAGGGTGGTCCAAAGAGGAACATCTGCACACAAGGACCCCTGGGAGAGGTTAAAAAAAAAGCAAGATGGCAGCCATGGCTGGGTCAAAGCCCTGTCCCTCTTGGCCTCCATCCAGGCCTGAAAATAATGGTGGGATGTCAGTCATGTGATGGTGGACACCTTCATGATGATCACAGGCCTGGAGACTAAAACATATGAAGAACGGTTGCAGGATTTGGGCTTGGCTGGTCTAGTGAAAAGAAGAATTAGGCACAATATAATAGCAGTCTTCCAATATTTGAGGGGCTGCCACAGAGAGGAAGGGGTCAAACTATTCTCCAAAGCACCCGAAGACCAGACAAGGAAACTCATCAGAGAGATTCAACCTGGAAATGAGAATTTTTTTTTCTTCCCCTATTTTGGGTCTTCCCCCCCCTTTTTTTAAACCCTAGGTTATTGTGGTGTCTATTAAATATATAACAGAGAGATACGGGGTGTGTGTATGGAGGGAAACGTAGTAGGGATGCACCTGTAATTAAATGACATACTGTATGGGATGATGGGGTTTTTCTTTTTTTTTCTTTTTGTGTGTGGGTTTTTTTTCCCCTCTGCCTTTCTTTTTCTATTGTTATGTGATTATGTTGTCTATGTAACAAAAATAAAATAAAATAAAAATTTAAAATAAAATAAAATAAAAATTTAAAATAAAATAAA